TGAAAATAAAATCGTTTTTCTTTTATAGTACTAGTAGTATGTTCATTCTCTCGAAGTTGAGGAACCATCTTTTTCACAAAAAAAAATGAATGCATCTAGATTCTATCCCAGTTTTCGTAGAAAGAATATCAACCCTATAAAAGAGTAGACGAATTTTTGCAGGAGAGAGGATTTCTAGACCGTTTCTAGCAGTTGCGCACCTAAGATCTTCAGAAAGTATGCATCTGCGAACTTTGAGTCTGTAAGAAATTTTTTTCTGATCATCAAGATCTGTTTTCTAAAACTTTCAGAAATTTTTGTCAAGCTTTTGTCAAGAAAGCTTTGAAAAAGGGAGGGTCCGGGTCTGTTAAATAAAGCCCGCAAAAGCCAGCCTTTTTAGTAATAGAATTAAGTCAGCAGTCAAAACTTAATTGTGAACTGTCATCAGCACATACTTACTTAAAAGTGATACAATAACCAATTGTTTTGTATGTATAAAGCACGCCGTAGTCCACATCGAAGGAAACAAAAAAATTTATACAAACACTGTTTTGCCATAGAATACAGCTGACTAAGCCCATGCAACTGTATCATTATTGATTTTCCATCTTATGGTAAAAATAACTCAGCCAGTTGCATGAATATATGGAATAACATCTTTCAATATAGCAACTACAAACACAAACAGATACGCACATATGTATTTATATCAAACAGGTAGAAGCAGTTTACTTGAATTTTCTCGAAATCAATCCCTTTTCATTTAGCCTCAAACTGACCACATGATTCAAATCATATATGTATATAAAGTACAACATTTATTAAGTAATCGAATTCCTAACAGTATCTAGGGCACAAGGAAGGATGATTACTCTATTCAGATATAAAAGTAATTGCGTTAAAAAAAATTACAATGTCATGTCTACTTCCTCAAAAATAAGCAAATAGAAAACGCAAAAGAAATTCTACTGGTAATGATTGTTAAGAAGGATGACGTCATCGATAATGAGACATTTAGTTGCGCAAATATGTGAAAGAGACATCAGATACAAATACTTAGGATCTATCAAAAGTAATGGTGGAGGTATTTTAATTCCTTATAAAAACAGTTTAAATAAACTTTCTCTTTATCTGATATGACAATAAAAACAACCTATGTCTCATGTTTGTTCGCATTAGTACTGGTATCTTAACAATTTAATAGCGGCAGCGCTTACAACTTTCGGTTCTAGCTGTGAACAATTCCAGTGAGTATTTCTACCCAAATTCAAATTTTCCAAGATAAAAACAATTTCAGAATATGATTTACTAATAAAAATTTTTGCATAGCAATCTATAATAAAAATTTATTTTATAAGTAGGGTCGATTAAGACTCTATGGCAATTACAGATGGTTTAGAAGCATTAACATTATCGGAGTGCATCGAAAACTACTCAATTCTGTCAGTTTAAGCAGACTTAAAAAATGTTCACCCATTTTGATACAATATAACATGACACAATACTTTCAAAAAACGGCAGTTTACCAGCCCTAATTTCTAGGTAGTTCTCACGTGAGAATGTCCTACATTTCTCTGATATTTCATCATTTTTCAACTAATCTCATATTAGTAAACTTGATGTTATATTTCACTCTGTTTTTTTTTTATCTCCTCTAATACCTGCTCGTCTGTATATATTAGAGTATACAAAAAGAAGTTGTGCCAGTAGAACAAAAAAAACATACAGAAATAATTTTATCAAGTTATTATTTAAGTAATTCTCCACATCTAGCTCCATCTGATTTCAGCTAATTCGTCTGAATGAAACAAAATCTAAGCAATCAAAACAATTCCAAATCATTGCATTGTGTTGTAAACAAGTTTATGAATTTTTTTCAATAAAGAACAGTATAAAAAATGGTTTTATAGATGGATTCAACAAATACAATAGAGTATAAATAACTAGGACGATTATGGCTAACATTTAAAGAAGTAAAATTTTGATGAAGTATTTTCTGTGTTTCATTTTTGGTCTGTCGACATAACTTTTGATACATTCTAACATGTAAAGACAGCTAGGTATTAGAAAAAAACAGAAAAAAAGAGAGAAACAGAACACGAAAAAGAGAATTCATATCGAAAACAAAATTGTAATCGAATATTACCGTCAGATATCCTATCGAACAGCTTTTATCGAAATTTTTTTATTATGATATTAGTTGAAGAATGATCATATACCAAAGAAATGTATAGTATTATTTTTACTATCTGATTGTATAGACGGAAAAATTCTTATAAGAAATTGAAATATCTTCTCCACTACTGTGGGTATGTCCTACGTAAAAAGCGCAATTAAAAAGATATCATTGGTAATGAGTAATATAAATGTTGATGTGCGAGAAGCAGAAGATACGGTATCAAACATTCGAAAGAGGTTTTATGTTCACCACTATCATTCTGAAAAGAAATATATTCTTACCCTGATGTGCGCAATATAAGTAAAAAAATGCATTCGCAAACATGTCACGCACGTGTGATAAAACAAATGTCGATGTGACTGACGAAGCAAGCAGTTGTACGAATATTCAAAAGAGACTTTGATGTCCATCATTGTCAAGCAGAAAAAAATATACTCTTATCGTGCTGTATGAAATATAAATAAAAAAACGCAATTACACTATGTCAAAAAATAATAATATGCAAGTCATCGTCTGTGTGTTATTCTCTTTATGGATGCTAATTCATGTTTTTTTCTTTTTCTTTCTTTCTTTCTTTTTCTTCCTCTTTGCTTCTTTTTGGATATCTTATATATCACTCTGACGAATACACGTGTTATTAGGTAGCTGTTTCCTTAGCACCATTCAGATCAGATGATTATGCTTAGCAAATAAATACAATCAATTATAATAAAATTTCATCGATTATTTTTGATTAAAACAGATTTAAAATTGTGCAAAAGAATCATTTTTAATCAATTTCGTGTAATTATAGCAGTAGATTTTTTAATCGAGTTTTGTTTGTTTTACGTTGATTATAAGCGATTTCTTGGTGATTATGAAACCAGTTTTAAACAAAATTAATCAGAATAATCGATGAAACTTCAATAGTTTTGATTATTTTTTCTTCTTCTTATCGATTTAGAATCAATTTTTCACATCAATTGTATTTGCATGAATATTAGTTTATGATACCAAAGTCGAAATCGAATAAGAAAACCTTTATTCTAATATTCTTTTTTGAGTAAGCTATTTATTTTTCTATTTCCGTTTTAGTCACTTTCTCTATATTTAATCTATTCGCACATTCAAAGTTCATTATATCCGTTCAAAACAGAAAGTAGATTTTAAACGATAAAACTACACATAAAAGTTTGATAGTAATGAACTGGAGAACCACCATATAATTTATGCTGGAAAGATCAAAATTTCATGCCCTGAGTGTATCTATCAAAATTAGACGAGCAAAATCTGATTGTTAACCGAAAAACTTTATAATAAAAGGATAACAAATCTTTTCAGTAAAAAAAAAACTTTATTTGAAAGAAATAAGTTAAACAGATACAAAAGAAATAATAGGCAGAATTCACTCAACAATCTCCAGATTATTACAAATATGCTTTGTTTTTCTAATATACGTATATCGTTAAAAAATAAAATATCTTTTTATTATTAAACTTATCATATCAAAGGATTTGTATGATATTGTAAATGAACAGCTATAAAAAATGTGTTGAACCGATCAAAGAATAATGAAATTATAGTATACGCCCACATCATTTGATTAAATATTTATAACTAATATTTCTATATACAACGAATAAACAGACTTGATTATAACTTTCAAACTACTATTCTTTTCTTTTGTATCTATGCCACTTATTTGAGTCAATGTAATTTATGTCAACTACACGTTTACACTTATAAATTCGAGCCTTTATTGTTTTGTTTCGGATCTCTTGACTATTTATAATTCGGTCTTTGTTTTTGGTTTTACCACACTCAACTACTATTCAACGACTGTTCAAATAGAGTAATGAGAAATGGCGTTCAGCAAAAGACTGCAAGAGGATAATTAGTGTTTTATCTGGCTTTTTTTTTTCAAAATAAGATAATAGGTGATCTGCATTTTGATTGATTCTTTTTGTTTTTTTCTTCTTCGATGGGTTTGTATTCCAGAGAACCAACCAAATAAAGACATCTCAATTCGATTCGACTCCGTTTTGGTCTCTGGTGTACTATGAACGTTGAATGCACAGTCCTATTGATCAATTATTTTCACTCGTCTGTTTTGCATAGCTGACCAAAATGGAAGTCAACTTTCTCTGCTTGAAATCTGTTTTATTCATTGATTATTTTATGAAACAACTTGAAACGTACGTCGAAATGCGCATATTTTTCAGAATTATTACTATTAGCTTATAGATCGCTCATGTAAATACGTTTCAGTATATAAAGACGTCTAGATGCGTTTGAGAAATACTTTAAACCGTGTCCAGCTGCATCTGCCGAGTACATAATCGCATCTAGACTGATCTATTCTGTGTTTTCCTGTTTACACAGATAACGTAATCTGCAATAGAGGAGTATTGTTGTAAATGTCCCAGTTGGTATTGAACAGAAAATTGAGTGCTTACACTCAAACAGGGATTACGCTAATAGAGTTTTTGAAAGATTTTTATTTTATTTTTTCTTATATAATACTGCTATTTTCATATGAATACAAAATAAATTATTTCTTGTATGAAAACTAAATGTTTTATTAAGAAATAAATTGCTTGTTTAACATACACACAATTCTGTTAGTTTTCCAATATCGTGAGTATGAATAGTCTTTTGTTATGTCTTTTTCTTTTATTTCAGATACATTTGATATCTTATTTGTCTGTGTAATATTGGAGAATGTAAACCAATTTTCTTATTTTTAACTATTCTGTTATGCAACCAAAACGGAATCGTATTTGTAGTATTTTTTTATACCGTTCTAGAGTCTTCCAAAACGCTTGTTTGTATGATTTTGATGGAAGAATAAATACGACGAAAGTTAGCATAGATGGAATAAATGAAATAAAATAAAATATCCGATAAGGTACATCCATGGATCATCAATAGATTTCATACAGCCTGGAATGAAAGAAATGATCAAACGTGGTACAGCTAGAACGACTAAAGCAATAGGAGCAATTAATAAATGACTGTGTTCTTTTAATTGTTCATACAATAATTTTTGATAACGTTGATCATGTTCAATAGTTCTTCGTTGTCGAGCAGTTAATATAATAATGCTTAATGCTGAAATAAAATTAATAAAAAATGGAGTTAAAAAATGAAATATATTCATGACTGTATTGAACATTTGAAGACTGGACGAGTAAGTAACAATACACCAAATTCGCTTCTCGTTATCATCATCGTTATCAGTGTCTATCAAACGTCGATGAATAGGATCATGAATAGTTGTACCGATATTCAAAAGTAGAAGAGTAAGAACAATATATTTTGCCATTTGCTTGCTTTTCTTTCTATTAAAATTGATTCCTTTTACTGTAATAATTGCTCGTTCTAAAGCCACACCCGCATTTAACCATTGATTCACATGAAGATTGATTTGTAGAAGAAAATCTATTGAAACACATTGATATCGTAGAAATAAACGATTCGTAATATATGTGATTTGTGTAATCACAAGTATCCAAAATTTCAATGCAAATATAATCATTATGACTACAGTAGTAATCGATGATCCTAGCAGATAAATACCACAACCAATTTGACGTGTTTCCCTATTATTAAATGTAATTATGGATAGGCTACCATTGATGAATCCTACGATGATCATAACTATAGTAATTATTATACTTATTTGTACAACAAAAGGTTGATGTCTTATTGCGATATGTGGCTGAATATGGTAACCTAAAATAGCATCAAGTGAAAGACCAAATCCACTTGAACTAAATTCGCATCGTTTTCCATAAAAACAGGTTAGACAGACACATATCGATGTTTGTGAACAAGTACGCCTATCTTGCAAACATTGTGCTCCATTTTTAAAATTACTTTGACCAAAACAATCAAATTTTTTCGAATGATTAAATTCGAAGCAATTGGCTAAACGTTGTTTTCCATAATTGTTACATAAACAAAAATGATCATTATCATAAAAACAAGATAATAGTGGTAAGGCTTGTAGACATACTAAATGATAATATTTAATACGACGAAGAAGATGAAATTCAGCAATAGTCTTATTCAATACTTCATTTATATTTTTACAGCGATCTGATGATTTAATTGTTGTAGAAATTGTACTTGATCGATTGTATGTTTTTTGAACAGTAATTAAATAATAATTATTTTCGAAAAGTTTTACAAAAATAATGTGAAATGGATGTGACCAATAAATAATGACTGAATTTTGATTAGCAGGAATAGTTTTGAATGTTGAACCATTTTCTGGTGGAGCATTATCGATTAATTCAATAAAATGAATAAGCATTGATTGTGGTAAAATAATACTTTTATGAAATGACACAATGATTTTATTATCAATTATTTCACATCTTTTTCCACTGAAACCTTTTCGACAAATGCATATGAATTGTTTGTTAGGTATAATGTTTTTATCAGTAAGAACACATTGACCATCGTTATAACATATATGATTTTGATCAGATTGACAAGTTAAATCTCGAAGAAAACATTGAGAACCCCATTTATTTATTGGACAAACACATAACGATCGATTGTTTGTCAGAACACCAATACACAAAGAGTCAGACGAACATGTACAATTATATGGAATAGTACAATATTGACCAGACCATCCTTGATTACATTGACAAAATGTAATACCTTTTGGATTATTCGAATATTGAATACATTTACCATGAAGGCATGGCCGATTTAAACAGCTTTGTACTTCATAATTCGTATGTGGAATATTTATCTGAAGAGCAACACGATGTACAGGTAAAAAAGGAAAGTCAGGAGGCACTAATAAACTTGATCGATACATGAGTGAAATTTTTTCATAAATATCAATATGAAGTGAATATTGTTTTGTCTGATTTTTTGGTCGATTTGCATACAATAAATAAGTATTGAACTTAATCGAACAATGATCAATATATAAATAAGTAAATTGTTGATATGAATGAATAATTCGCTCATCACTATCATCGATAAGTGAAACAATAATAGCAAATAATGTTCTTCGAGAATCAGAACCTGTTTCAAATCGCATCGTAAGACTGACTCGCTGATTCTGATATTGACACATGTTTCCATAAAAACTTGGTGGACATAAGCATGTGATCATAGTTAAATTACTTTCTTCATCTAACCAAACTCGTAAAGGAATACCACGATGGCATGGTTGTTCAGGATAAACCATCTTTTGTATAATAGATAAATATGGTATTATTATTTTTGGGTTCTGTTTTGTTGTGTATGTAGTTGAGTTATTAAGTCGATCAAGTGAAAAATGTACAATTCGTGGTTTATTAGTATCGATTGGACGTTTACAAAAAAAATTCTCAACATCAGAACGAATCAAGTTATAATCGTCAGTACAAATACTGGTTTGAACAGTATGATTCTTAGAAGTGTCACAAACTTGTGTATCGACTTTGTTGGTACATTTGCTGTAAGCACATAAATTGTCGATATCGATACAAGAATTATTCATATAGTCCATGCAGTGAAAATTTTGGCTAGTTGGCGGCTGATAATCAATTGCTCGACATAGTTTTGGTTCATCAGTAGCACCAAGACAATCGATATGACCATCATTGGCTTTCTCAAGAGACAAACACATGAATTGATTTGTCCCAGAAGAAACACATATGTGATGATGAAGTGGACATTCCAATGATGGTATTACTGGTTCACAACCAACTTCATCAGCTCCATCAAAACAATTCCAAAAACCATCACAACGTGTATAAATGTTATTACACTGCCAATATTCACATTCTGTTTCATCTGTTTCATTTTTTCCATCAATGTTAATAGGTATTAATTCTGTAAAACCATCACAAATAGTTGGAAATGAAATATGATATCTAGTATAATGAAGATTCATATCTTCATCGTCACATAAATCATATTCATTCGTTCCACATTGACACTCACAATTTTCGACAAACATTAGAGGTATACAAATACTTTTTGTTTTACAGTAGAAGGGCTGATGAAATCGGTATATAAAACAAGAATCCTTTTGTAAAGAGCATTTTTCTTCATCATCTTTAAAATCGCAATCATTCATACCGCTACAAAAACGATTTTGTGAAATACATTTTGAAGAATTTAAACATTGATACATGTTTGGATTATTACAAATTATGGAATTATTACGTATAATTGTGTTGCAGTGTGCAAGGTTTTGATATAGAGGTGCAACATATGTAGTTATCCATTTACCTCTTCCAGCTCCGATGAAACGAAAATTAAGTGGAAAATCTTCAGGACGACGGCAAGTAGTATTATTGAGTAGCAACAATGTTCTATTTGGGTAGAATCCAGAGCACAATTGATCATTATAACATATGTACTGAGGAGGTGGTGGTATCGCCGATAAACTAATAAGATTTTCTTTATTGTAAACAAAGTAAATATGGCCAAAAATGACCGGTTCGGCAGGTACATTGATCCAATCGGGACAAGTTTCATTGATAAGATCTGTTCATATCCCATTGAGACAAAGATCACCACATTCTGGATTCGATTGCTTTGGAACACCCAAGCGACACTTGACTGCTAAATAACACTTATCAGATACTGTATTTGGTTTATCAGAAAATATCAATCGCTCTAATAAGTTGCTACGCTCTTCAATACATGAGCTTGTTAATTTTGCTGTAAAAAAACCATCACGCTGGAGACATGTAATATCTTCTTTTAAAAATGTTGGTTCACTCTTAATACTGTCATACAATTGTACACTTGAAATTTCATCTGATTGATCGAGACATTCAAAAGCATTACCATCATCGTGCCAAAATGCCTTCGATATACATTGTCCGTTGTAACATCGATATTCATTGTCATTGCATTTGTTAATTTCAAATAGCCAACAAGATTCTTCATCAATTCCGTTCCGACAATCAACGATTCCATCACATATTTCAGTCCAATCAAGACATAGCGATGCTGAACCACGATCACATTCTAAATGAGTGTAACATGTCAATTCTGTTGGTTCATATGTATGTTGATAAAATTCATAAATAATTTCATTTAACGATGAATGATGAAAATTGTAATTATCCAATGAATATTGACACAATGGTCCAAATCTTGGTAGTGTACAATTATAGTACAACTGCGTTGCCATTGATGCTAATGATATACTTGAAATTGAACGTTGGTTTAAATAGAATTGATAACGTTCGATTATATCTAGGGGTGTTGACCAAATATATAATTGTTCACTCGTAATATTCTGCTCAGCTAGCTGAGCAAAAGTAAACTTTTGATCTAGACTACTTTTTTGTAAGTTATATTCCATTTTGATGGCCATTCATTCATACAATAAGAAATAATCTGATGAGGATCATTTTCTTTCTCCATCCAGGCAACAACATGAAGGCAATCATGCTGAAACACAATATCACTCTCAATATCACTAAACCAATCAGTGAGATCAAGATTAATTTGAGGTGACGCAGTTACGAAATATAACAGACTAGAATAGATTATATTAGTGACAAAGGACATTGTTGAAGTCTCTAATAATGATTCTGAACGAAGTCAACATTTATAAATATATATATACATGCACTAAATAAGGCTATTTTTTTGGATATGATGTTTTTTCTGATAATATTGATTAAAAGTGTTTATCCATTAAAAAAAACATGATCAATACAAAAGATAGCAATTTGCTCTTGCATTCTACTGAAAAATGTTAACACTAAACGATATTTTATAATTAGATTAGATGATAACTCACATCTGCCATCATTTTAGCCGGAACTAGATTAGTGATATGAGCCTAACTCATTACGTTTACTCCATATGCGTATTTTATATATTGTCCTTGTTGCATATACATGAACAGATATTTTAATGAATCATCAATGTCAGTGACTGACATTGTTGTTTTGAATGATTACTGGTCTCTGCTGCACTAAAAGTATTTTTTCTATTTTATTCATACATTTCAAATGAGCTGCCTTATCATTCGATTGATAAGTTTAAGCTGAATTTTTCAAGATAAAATACTGTTCATTATCAATTTGAATTATACGAGAATCAGATCATAATTTTCTTTTTTTGTTTATATCAATCTTGAACTAGTTGTGTCCTTTCTTACAGAAGAACAATAAGGGGTGGGTGTTTGGGTGTGGGTATGGGTGTATATATAGTAATCACAATACTAGAGTATTTCGATATTGCTGAAATCTTATCAAGGAGCACAAGATATTAGTATAAAAGATTTAGATTGAATGAAAATTCAAAGAAAATCAATACATAATACTATTTTCTACATTCAAAAGAAGTAGAATCACCTTTCTGGATGTGTGATATAGACTAATCGCCGTTCCAAGACAACGGTTGTTTCTGTCTTGGCGGGACTTCATCAGGTGAAATTCTTAATAGTATATCTGCTTAGGTATTGCAATTCTTAGAAAGTAAAAACAAGGAGGAAACAACAGACCCCTAGTCAACTCTCCCTTGCGAAATCCCCGGAGAGTCCCCAGTTTTTAGGGAGCCCCTCTCAAATCTTCATGAACTTGAATTATTCAGAAGACTCACTGGTAACTTCTTAAAGAGTCCCTGGTAATTTTTATTAGCTCCCAATGGAGTCCCCAGGAAGTTTCCAGGGAGTCCCTGAATCCCATCTTAACTCTCCGGAGATTCCTGACAGGGATTCCCCGGGGGATTTGTTGACGGAGAGTCGACTAGGGACTCCATGGAAAAGGAGTCTGTCATTTCACTCTTGACAATATTACTCAGTACCCAGCAGTTGTATTCCCAGAACAGAACAAAATTGTTCTACTTTGGAGATACAATTTACTGGTACTCAGTAATATTGTTCTGTTTCGGGAATTGTTTTTGGACAATTTCTGTCAAAAGAACTTTTCAAACAGATCAGTTTAAGGAAGAAATGGCGAACTTCAGGACTTCGGGGCTCCATGAGACTGCATGGGACTCCATAGGAGTGGAGTATGCCATTTCCCACTTGGCTGAATACGAATAAGAGAAAGATGTTGTATGTTTGTCTCTAAACTGAAACTAATATCTATTTCATCTGATGGTACACATGATTAAAAAAAATAAAAAAAATAGCAGTAACAAATTTCTATAATGGATTTCTGAAGTTCGGCAAGAATTTTACGAGACTCCATGTGACTATATCGGAGTGAAGTCTACCGTTTTCCCCTTGTGGTATACTGAAGTATTTTTATCCGTTTCATCATAGAGGGATTCGGAAAACCTATATATACGCAATGTCCATTGCTCGTTTTGTTTGACCACGATTCTTTATATTCCTTCCAAGGATGCTTTCCATTTAAATGCAGTCAAAACAGCGAAAAAATGATTTAAGTTTTTGATATCGTTTCTAGAGTATTCGAATAGAGCCATAGACTGTTATGGAAAGTAAGTAGTCACTAAAGTACAGAAAGACATTTTATTGAAATTGTTTTCTATCCGAGATATTCGACGATCCAATACAAAATCTGAATAAAACTTGAGAAGCTGTTTCAATTTTTCGAGTTTGTTATAATTGTCTTTTCTTTCAAATACTGGAATCGGTTCACCAGAAATAACAGCATTGATATTTTTTACATAGCAATGCGTGCTCCATCTATAATTGTTGGCAGCTTATGGTTTCTTTTTGTTGCCAATCGAGTAAAGAAGTTATATTGAAGTTCAAGTACCATAAATAATCAAGAACAAAAATAGAAAAGAAAGAAAGAAAAAGAAAGAAGAACTCTTGCTTGGCTACCAGCTTTTTCTCTTTCTTCTAAATCATCGAGCGGTAAGCGCGATAAATATCATTAGAAGCAAATGCAAGACGAGCGAAAAAAAGTAAAATAGCCTTGCGTTGTTTCAAGGCAAGAGCACTTATTTATATTAGCGTCATCGGTAACACATTCTTCGATTTCAAAGTGAAGTGTTACATCTAAAGTGATGGCCAAAACTACGAAGTATGAAGTGACACATGATTTAAGAAAACTTGCCGTTATTGCAGTTTGCTTCAATCCAGTCAGATATAATAGTCGATACCATTTGTATCGACAATTCGAAGAACATATGTCTCAATCGGGAGTCTTCCTATTTACTGTCGAATGTTTGTTTCAATCAGCGCCAGTTTTTGGTTTGCCAAAGCAAACGTATGAAGTGACACAACCCAATAATCCTCATCATTTACAACTGCTTGCGCCATCCATTCTATGGATGAAAGAAAACTTAATTAATATTTCCGTGAAGCATTTACCGGCATATATCGAATATATTGCCTGGATCGATATCGATATCGAATTTGATGTAAGTTGTCAAAAACTTGATCGTATTTATATTGTTCACTTTCCTGGAATATGCTATGTTTGTAATAGCAAAGCAAAAAGTTTTTCATCGTACATGCCACTCGGATATTTAACAGTTGAATTCTATCGACAATACACATGAGAACTGGAGAGTAAGAACGAACTAGGCATCCAGAAAAGGTCGACAGAATTCGTGATTACCTATAAACATAATTCACATACAAAGGAAATCAGAAGACGTGCATTAGATCGCCTTGAAAGTGTCCGTATTGGACTCTTAAGAATTGTCGGTATCGAGATTCGAACCAGTTTTGATTGTACAGGCACTACCATTTTTTGTCAGTTTTTGAGATTGAATTATCACAACTATATTTGCTTTCAAAGCTGCAAGAATAGTGTCATCGGATGACATTATTCGAACTGTCTCAAGAGATAATACAAGTGTCGACATTAATGGATAGTTTTTGTTTGCCAAATGAAAGTTTTCTATAGAAATGCTTGCAAAAATTATTGTCTTTTATTGTTTTTTGTTGTTGTTCATATTGTAGCATCTCAACTGGGCTCATTTGGCGATTGACGAATTGCAACGTTACCCGATTGTACAACTCTTTGAAATGGCTCATTTCCTCGGGCCGAATGGAAAGAGTGAAGTCTTACGCCGTGATTATTCATTTGTTTATTCCATCAAACACAACAAACCAATTGATCCGCGTCGTTACAAAGAATGGTATCCACATCCAGGTTATGCTTGGGCAATGCGTCGTACAGCATTTAATGCTATTGGTGGTCTATGCGAATTTTCTATTCTCGGATCAGGCGATTTACACTTTGCCTATGCACTTTTAAATCGCATCAAAGAAACATTTCCGAAGAATTTGCACGAAGATTATCAACGTTTAGCTATAAATTGGGGTGAAAATGTGGCACAACTTGCACAAGAAGGTCATAATATCGGCCATGTACCTATCAATGTCTGGCATCATTGGCATGGAAGTAGAGATAATAGAGGTTACGTTGAAAGATGGTTAGTAGATTTCCACTATAGCTAGAAATCGAATTTAAAAACGATGATCATTTCGTTTATCTTTATTTTCTGATTCATGACTTGTTATAGATTGTCTACAAATTTTTGACTTACCGTTTTTTGAGTGATTTTTTTTCTGTTATAGGGGTATTCTCGAACGGCATCAATTTTCGCCTTCGAAAGATCTAGAGAAAAATCCTCAAACAGGCGTTATTGCTCTTGCCAATAAACGTCATATAGGCAAGCTACAAATGTCTGTCCGTATGATTTCTTTGGAACGAGATATAGTTGCCTATTTTCTATCACGAAAAGAAGATTCGAAATCGAATTTTGTGAAACCAGTTAAACCGATTAAGCCCAATCCAGCGACCGTAAAACCTAAGCCTGCAGCAACTGGATCTTCAAGTCATTTTAGAAATTATAGACCACCGCAATCTTCGTTTCCATCGTATTACAATCGACCAACACACATTTGGACATCAGATTCAGGCGATTCTCATATCAATGATCATGATTCATGCTGGATAGATTGTACATGTCCCGAACATCATGATTGTCCGCACGCTGAAGATTGTCCTTGTTGTATACATTATGCCGGTGAACATGATTTTTGCCATGAGACAGGAAATGAAGAAGAACATCATGGTGATGAGCACGACTACCGTGACGAAACAGGGCATGATGAAGAGTACCATCGTGACCATGAGTATGACTACTCCGACAATACGGGGCATGAAGAAGACCATGATGAACACGGAGGACAAGATTTTAATGATATAGAAGGTGGAGAATATTTTTCACCAGATTCAGGCGGATTCGATAATGACTATACAACAGGCGAAAACGAATCGAATGACTATCAAGGTGAAACAACTGACTATACTGGCCCAGGAAGCTTTTATTGAGATTAATAATATATACATGTAAGTACTTATTTCTGAAACTTATCAATAAAATGAATATATACAGCATTACCTATCTTTAGAGAGTCCCAAACACACGTATAAAAATGCTTCTGATGTTGATTAAGTTTTCAACATTTATCAAGCCTCCAATTATTAGCATTCCGATAAAACAAAGTTTTTGAAATACTTTTCGACTTAGGAAAGATCAGCTTAAACTCTTAAAAATTGTGTACAAACCATTATTCTTGCAGCCAATAACAACGATACTGGTTGTAGGAATCAAAAGCAAAAATGGGAAAGTCAATAATTTGAATTTCTCCATAGACACGACAACAATATTAATAGTTTGTTTTAGCAATGAATACTCTTGTAAAATAGAGGTTTTGATAAAAGAACGTTACAATCGCATCGATTTTTATACATTATTAGCACTTTGATAAGCACTGTTTTTTTAATTTCTCTCGTTCTAAGAAGAAATGACGAGAACTTAACTGTTTCAAAATAGTACAACCCTTGAAATTGACAGAAAGTGATTGAGAGTTGGAATTACATTCCACTGATCTAAGCTTCGTGGAAATTTGGAGATGGGGGTGAAAAGAGACTCCAAACCTCTGTTCACACCCTCAACCACACACCACGCACGCGCACATCCTATCGCTAATTTTTTATTTCATGTCAGGGACGCTATAATATTTCCTAAAAAAGCTTATGCACGCAGATCTTTTAGACTAAAATATGGCACTCACATATCTTCTTTAGCTTCATTTTACTAATATCAAACACATAAAATAAAAGATTTACTAACCGAAGAGAGTCCCTTTCGAAGGATAATCGATCGTTAGTAAAACGATCTATCTTATTTATCTCTGATTTTCAAGTAGTCTATGTTTTCTTATATTTTTTTACTAGTCCTTTATCTTTTTGTTTTCTTGTTGCTATCCACTCGTTATTTTTTTTTTATTGCATTTTGATTAATTTACTGTTGGTATTACTATCATTTCAACCATTGATTTAACTGAAAAATAAGCCGGTTGTATGCATCCTTTGTATCTATAGCAATTCTCAATGCCCTATTATGTGGCGCAACAAGCTCTTAAATGCTGCTATTGAGAATTCTCGATAGTTACGACTTGGTCAGTTCATGACTCTTTTATGGGCCATATGACGTCTGCGGCAAATTGGCACGTCGCTAACTATCACCCTTGATATTTTTTGCATAATCATTTAACTACACAAACATAAAAAACTATGCTATTTAGACTATTCAAAATCAGATTCCAGTCATTTAAATTTCAATAAAGTCTTTGAAGTATTCTACAACAGACTAAACCTAACCTTTTTGTTAGTGCTGTTCAGCATCTTTTTCCGTTACTGCCGAACCATAGTAAAGTAGTCTAGTGCTTCTTGTTCTCTGTCGCTAGAAAAGAATTCGTATCTAATGATTTCCCAGGTCGTTCATGCCCGGCCGTAAACGGTCGTACACCAATCATTTACGACGAAAAACGACAGCAGTTTACAGTGACCATTTACGTCAATCATATACGGCGTTTTACGGCGTATTACGTTAATTGTAAACAATGACAGTAAACGTTCGTCCTTTACAACAACCGTAAAAATACGGCGACAGTAAACGATGCTCGGATAACNTTGTATAAGTATGATAATACTTTTAATATTGAAATTAATTTTATATATTTAATAAATGATTTTTTTTTTATTCAATAATTAGATATTTTATTTTCGTTTTCATCTGATTTTGGATATACTTGGCAATCGATTGCCAAGTATATCCAAAATCAGATGAAAACGAAAATAAAATATCTAATTATTGAATAAAAAAAAAATCATTTATTAAATATATAAAATTAATTTCAATATTAAAAGTATTATCATACTTATACAACGATTAAACGAAAGAGGAACAATAGCTAATTGAATATAAAATAAATTTTCAAAAATATTTAAATCATCAGTAATAATTTCATTAATTGTTAAATTTGATTTATCTAAAAACAAAATACAATTTTTCATTATTAATTTTCTTTTCATATGTGTAGTTATTACTTTTTGTTGGAAATATTAGATATGTTCCATTAAATATTCCATCACCAAATGAAACAAATAATTTCGGATCAAAGTTTTGAAATTGATCAAATTTTCCATAGATTACTTCTTGAAGAATAATCGAACCACTGACAATAATCTATTCGACACAACAAAAAAACAACTTTATATAATTTAAAACATCTTTTTTTTCTTTAATACCTCTTCTAATTTTAAACATTTTGAAATATTCGATAGAAAAACAAATCGAATGAGAACATAATCATATCTCATTTCATCTAATAAATCTTCATGTATAATATAAGATTGATTTACATTTAAAATAATATATTTAAAAAGTTGCCAACTTAAACCCATATTACGAGAATATTCTAATGATATTATTTGAATATTTTGTTGACAATTCATATGAAAAGTAAATTCTAAAAATCTAGATTTTAAACAAACGGTTTTCTTTTTAATTTAGTTCTTTAATTCTCTTTATTTACCTCGTTGAAATAAGATTTAATGGTGGTAAAACAATAAGATCTAATAAATTGCTATTAAATCGTTCAAAAAATGTTGTTTTTATTGTTGATAATAAACAATTATTCTTTTCTGAACAACGACATTTCCCATTACATAATACTAATTCACATAAAGCTTCACATTCAGATCGAATAGTAATATTTGTTATTTGCCAACGTGTTGCAATTGTTGAATTTGCAGCTGACCAACGAATACGAATAAATCTAAAGAGAAAAAAGGCTTTTATTTTATGCTTTTTTTTTCCATGCAATATATTATGGTTAAAATTAGAGTTTCAATAAGAGGAAACGTCTCACAAAAAATGTTCACGTAAAAAAAAGTAGAAGTGTTTTTTTGTTCGATTATATTTCATTCTAAATTAGGATCATGTGAAAAATATAGATCCATGAGTTAAAATAATATTAACCTGTAATTTATCCGATAGAAACAATACTTTATGATATGAAAAATACAAAATTCTTTTTTTTTTTCAGATTCGAACTGCTCTCAACTTGAACAATTTATTTCTAGTTTAAATCTAATTACATCGGAACAAAATTGAAATTCTAATTTGGTTTAAAAACTATTCGATTAAAACATCAAATTCCATTTTTTGTCTAGAGAAATTCAAAATTTGACTTAAGGATGTGCAGTGTTAGTGTAACTATTAAACAGTAAGTCACCGATATAGGATCCACTGAAAGTACTGACTACATTGAATCGATGATATCTATGATAAGTAAACTGAAGCTGTACATCCTTAATATGACTAAATTTCAATATTGATTATAACATTTATTTACTTAGATAAAGACCGATAAGCATATAATGGTAAAAAAAATGTATTTTTAATTGCACGAAGTGGTTGAGTGATGATTATATCATTAATGCTAGAAGAAATTGTTGGTGGTCGATCGATAGATGACCAAGTTTGACCATAATCAATAGAAAATTCAAGATCAAATTGCGAATGATTTGATGTTACTAGAGAACTAGGGATACAACGATTAGAATCTAGCTAAAAGTAATAAGAAAAACTATTATAACAATATTAAATATTTATATCAATATCTTACTTGAAATGTTAAAAATGATGTTTCATTTAATTCAATATCAATTGTTGAATATATTTCAAGAGGAAATATATAATTTCTAAAATAATCAATCAATAGAATAACATACAACTTTATGAAATGCGATCTAAAAGAAGTGTTGAAATATAGGGATGAAAAT